GAAGTTTGTTATTTTTTTAATTTAGGATTTTTTTTTTTTTTTTTTTTTTTTTTTTTTTTTTTTTTATGGAGGCTCAGAAATATTTATAGAGTATGACACAGCCAAGCATTCTTTTTTTTTTTTTTTAGCATATTGTTTTTGTTCTGGATTTCTTGCCTTGTAGAGAGAGATGAATAATGTTTATAGGAAGTTCCCAATTAGTGTTGTAAGCAGGAACTGCCTCTGATGTTGCTGAGATGGGAGGGCTGTCACCCACAAGATGGGCAGAACAACTTTCCACACTGAGGAGCTGCTTCTTCCAAAAATGTTTATGGGATCAGGTGTGTATGGCCTCTGTTTGCACTGTAGAGGTAACCAAGTATGATGTGACCTTTTTTTAGCATTTAAACTGGATTTATGTTTGCTGATTGGGCAAGATGTGCTGTTATCACAACTTAAACTTACTTTTTAACGAAGAGATCAAATAAGCTGATAAAGGTGATACTTTGTCTCTCTTGCACATTTAACACATTTAGCAGTTGATTTCTGACATTTCTCAGCACAGACACGAGTGGGCTGCCCAGTCCTGTGTAGGTTGGGAGCACTTTAGGACACCAGTGCCCCTCCCACAGCCCTGTGCCAGCGTTTTTCCTGCTGGGGGGATCAAGGGTGGGAGTTTCTGCTTCATCCACTGCCACCAGTTATTGCAGAGAAACACAACACTCTGGATTCTTCTTGTTAACTCTTTCATTTCATTTTCTGCTTTCTCTTTAATTACTCCAGTGGCAGCCTTTCCTGCAGGTATTAATGGCCCCAGGATTAGGTGGCCAGTTCTGATCAGAGCTGCTGTTCTCCAGACTCTTTCCCTGCCTGCTCACCAGCGTTACCCACAGAGGGAAGCTCAGCTGCTCCAGCTCTTTCCAGGTTTCCTTTACGGTGCATTTATTCCTCTACCTGCACAGGGCCTTCTCAGGCTCCATCCTCACAATCTCCTGCTCTGGGTATGGCAAGAATTCCTCCTAAAAAGCCAGTGATGACAATGCCATGATGCTCACCCTGTCCAGCAGCTACAAAGAGAAATTGGTGCAGCTTCCAAGCAGCAGCTGCATTTAAATGGTTTTGAGGTTATTGGATGAACTCAGTGAGTTTAAACCCCTGGAGAGTTTAAAATTATGACTTTAAAATCAATATAGAAAACTGAGCTGAAGTGATGCATCAAGGATCTGCAGAGCCTTAGGATTTTGTGTCGGGGCTGCCCTGGATTTGTGGAATGGGAAGAAGGAAAATAACTGGGTTAATTTATTCAGCACTAAGTGACTTAAAACCCAACTGCATTATTGACCACACTCTGGTGCTCGAATGGAAACGCTTGAAACTCGGAGCCTTAATTCTGGAAGCAGCTCAAATACTCCAGGGAGCCCTTTGCTATTGTATCCTTGGTTTGAATTATTATTTAAAGACAACAAAGCTTCTGTTCAGCCACGGCCTTTCCGCAGGGTGGATGCGAGCTCCGGTCATTGACTTTGGTAACGGGAATCGGTGTTGGAGCCCCGGGGCTCAGAACGAGCCGCGTGTGTGCAAGTGCGGTGGCAGAGGGGTGAAGATAGGGGCTGAGATGGGACGGGCGTGCTGCCGGTGACCGCCGTTCCTGGTGTTTCCTGAGCTGGGGAATCACCGCGGTGCCTGATGCCCCTCGGGGGCCGCTAAGGGACGTGTCCCCTCTCGGTGTCCGTGTCCCCTCTCGGTGTCCGTGTCCCCTCTCGGTGTCCCCTCTCCGTGTCCCCTCCCCGTGTCCGTGTCCCCTCTC